CAATGCCTGACCCTACTTAGTAAGCTGATTAAACTGCCTCTGCATAGGAGACAATGTGCACTCACCAACTAGCAAACACGCAGCACTGACATACTCTAGTTAACATAAAACACTTACTTAATGCTATAATTGAACTAATAAGGCAACACGATACATAAGAGCATAAAACACAAAGCAACCACCAGTGTACAAAAACACAGGCTAGGACAATTCCGCCTCTACGCAGGCAACCAAATGTATATGCAGTGTTAAACTAATATTTGAGCCCCTGCGTGGGCAATCACTTGCTTTACCACAAACCCATCTGATGTATGACTTTATATTGTGCACACAATAAAAATATTCAAAACAAACCTATCTAACTTGGAGAATTTTTATAGTTTGTGTATTTTGGTCTATAATGTGAAATAGATTTTAAATATCTAACAATTCATATTTCACGGAATAACCTTCATATCTTTTCTCACAGTAAATAATAATTCCATCTTTATAAAACTGTGAGTCCATTATCTAACGGGTTATTTACTAAATGAGAATTCAGTGTGAATTTACAGTGTAAAGTAGCCGACCTGGAAGCGCAGGTGACTTAGAGAATATCTCCAGGTTGGTTATTTTTACCTTGATTTGAAATTCACTTAGAATTCACTCTAATAAATAACCGTCTAGTGTATAAAGTGTAGTAATCAGGACCAGCCCACGGGGTCCAGCTGGGGCAACTACACAATGGGAACACATAGAAAGGGGCAATAAAATGTTACCCTGGGCATGTGATAACTTATCTGGAATAAAAGGGTGAGAAGAGGGGAGAGCTGGAATGAAAGGAGGATGGTGGTAGAATTAAAGGAGGAATAAAATAGGAAAGAATCGGAGAAACAAGGAAAGCAGGAATAAAGAGAGAGACATGGATTCTTGGAGAAAATAGTGAGACAGCTGAAGATAAGGAAAAGGGAGATCTGGAATTAAAAGATCAGATGTGAAACCTGGATAAAGAGGGAACAGAGAAACAGAAATAGAGGGAATGGATTTGGAATAAAAAAGGAGAAGTAAAACTAGAATAAAAAGAAACAGAGAGATGGATAAAGGAGAATGAAAGATTTACAATAAGAGAAAGAATAGAACTTCATTAAACAGGGAGAAGGAGAGAGAAAGGAGACAAGAGGAGACACGTAACAAATAAACAGAGTAATGAAAAACCAGACCCTGACAGAGAGAGTAAAGAATAATGTGAACAGACCTTGACCCCCAACACACAGACTCAAAAATACCCAGAAATTCTCATAGATTGACCATCCACTCAGATACTGCTTGGCATTCACATACACCCTGTGAGAGGCACCGTGTAAACACACATCATGTGAGGATGGTCAGCCCCATCTCAGCACAGATCTAGAATTTTCCCTAATATGTAATAATATATTTAACAAGAATCCGAGCCCTGTACTGATTGATTTTAGCCTGTTAGATTTATTGTAGTTTCCATCAGTTATGTTGCCATAATTACCAGTAAGAAGATGAACATTAATGGGTTTATAACCTTATGTGAGCTCAGGGAATGAAATGGACCCTGTAAAGAGAGAGACTGGATGTAAAGTTACAGAGGGGCAATCTTACACCAATTACCCACTTATAGGGTTTCAGAACCCGCTATCAGACCAGATATAGTATGAGGCTGCTGGGTCAGTACCATGTGATTGCAGTCACTGTTACCACAGGGGGGGGAACATTGTGGGAAGGGGATTTCATGTTATAACAGGCTATCAGGTTTGCTGGTGGAATCTGAGGCTAATTTTAATATCTCAATTAATAAATAAATAAATAAAAATATTAGGAATTTGGAGGCACATCTAGAAAATGCATTTCTCAGTACTGGTACTTCTATAAATGTTTCATGTAGACAAAGTGCACATTAGGGGAAATTCTCAATAAATATAGAATGAATGTTACAAGGCTACTTACACACCTATCTTAGTAAATATAGTTGGATACAGTCACACCCATAATGTGGCCATAATTTGTTTAAACCGATATAGTAAAATTTCCCTAGAATTAACATCACACAGATCAGTAATTTATCCTCATGTTTACTTAACACCTGCAGGCATATTAATGGGATACAATAAGCAGGTTATATTACTGACTGTGATAGCTACTACTGGTTTCTGCTGCACTACAATGCACTGTCAGCAATCAATGTATCTTGGGGGTAAAACCTGCCAGTGCCCCTCCCTCATATTGTACAAACTCTACAAATGATACAATACGTTTTGTTTTTTTAATTGGAATTTGGGCCAATACACATTTTTCTTAGAATTGTAAACGCCCCCAACAGCTCTCAGAACATTTACATTATTTACATATGTGATATGCGATCTGAGAGCTATTCATTGGGTAGACACTGTCTGACTGCACTAACATCTGTGTAGACAGATATATTAACAGCAAAGGATGAAAAATATTAAACCAAATTGATCTATTTCAGCATTCTTGTATTTATTTGTTACCATTTAAACAAAGCGTCTTGGATCCTGCCAGGAGTTGGATATAAGATGTATAGAGAATATTTGTTCACTAGAATAAATATTCACAACATAGCAGCCAACATAGTACTCTCTAGTGCAGGGATAGGCAACCTTCGGCAATCCAGATGTTGTGGACCACATCCCCCATAATGCTCTTACACCCTTAATGCTGACAAAGCATCATAGGAGATGTAGTCCAAAACATCTGGAGTGCCAAAGGTTGCCTTTGCCTGCTCTAGTGTAATAAGTACAATTGTACAACTGCAAAATTGAGTATTATTTTTCAAAAAATAGATAAATAAGAAAATCCTTCAGCAAACAGTTTTACAGGACATGAAAAGTGTCGCTATACCAATACAGAGGTTTTCAAAGTCACCAAGTGCAGCAGTTTTCACGACCTGCACAAATGCATAAAAAAAAACAATAAGAAAATCTTGTAGCAAACAGTTGTGCAGGATGTGTAAAATGCTTCCACAGCAATACAGGGGAGTTAGACACCAAAGCTGTATAAGTCCTGCACAACTTCAATCATAGGCATTTTTTTTTGTGCAAAATTCTTTTAGAAAATCTTTTATATAACAGTTGTGTATGACATGAAAACTGCTGCCCTTGTTAGCTCAGAATGCCACTGTATTGATGTGACAACATCTTTCACGTCCTGCACAACGTTTAGCTATAAGATTTTCCTATAGTTTTTTTATGCGTTTTTATGCAGTTGTGCTAGATGTGAAAAGTGCTTACCAATACAGCAGCTTGCACCATCAACAAGGGCAGCACTTGTCACGTCCTACATGACTTGAAAAAAGCATTCTTTTCCAAATAACAAAAATAAAATCATGACACTTATACAAGTCATGAGAAGTGATGCCACAAAGAGTGATGCCATGAAAAGTGATGCCACACCAATACAGGGGTTCCCAAAGTCTCCAAAGACACTTTGTCTTCTGCACAACACTTTGCTACAATTGTATAAAAAAGTTTTTTGTTTAAAAAGATACAATAAGATAATATTTTAGAAAACAGTTGCTCAGGAAGTGAAAAGTGCTGCTTCACAAATATAGTGGTTTGCAATGTCACCATAGAAAGCCCTTTTAATGTGCAGCACAACTAGATAAAAATGCATTGTTTTTTAAAATCCAAATAGAAAATATTTTAGCAAACAGTTGCTCAGGGAGTGAAAAGTGCTCCCAAACAATACAGTTAAATTCTAAGCCACCATGGTCAGTACATTTCAAATCCTGGAAAACTGCAAAAATAAGCAATTTATTTTTGCCTTAAATCTTTTGAAATATCGTATAGAGAACATTTGTGTAGGTCCTGTAAAGTCCTGCACTTTTTATCTTTGAATTCCCTATTTTGGTGTGGCAGCAATTTGTATGTCCTGCTGAACTGTCTGCTAAAAATGTTCTGATATATATATATATATATATATATATATATATATATATATATATATATATATATATATATATATATATATATATTTATTTATTCTTTCATTATTTTTATTTTTTTTATATTCATTATTTATATCTTGTTTTGTCACATGAATGCTAAGCATAAGGAATGACGGTAGGGTGAATTCAATAAAGAATATAATTTGCTATTTAGCTGTCTGTAATTTGTGTTAAATCACTGCCATATTGTACACTTTTGTTATACCTAAATATTCACTGATTGTTGTCATGCATGTTACATATTATTATTAATTATTGTCACAATAAATTAATTTTTATAATCAATTTGTGAATAATGGGTGAAATTAAAATCCTCTAATGAAACTAATTCCAGGATCTATGAGAATTAAAAATAGTGGGTAGTTTTCAGCTTTAAATTAATGTAATCGGGGAAACAGTGCAAAGATATTAATTTTGATATAATAAAAATTTAATACATTTTTGATAATTTTTATGAAAATATTATTTTTAATATTTAAGACCCCATTAATATCCTCACAATTTACTTGGCTAGTTCTTGTTCCTGATCATAGCATATGGAGAGTCCTGGTCAGGACGAAGGCTCTGCTACATAAGCTTCCTGTACACCAGAGATCTATCATTCTGTAAACATACTGCTGTATCAAACTTATTGCTTTAACAAGGAGATCCATGTGGAGCCATTGTCAGTTTTCCTAATGTTTAAGAATATTTAAAACGAAACATACCACTCCTGTGTTGTGCTTCTCAAAACATCAATTATGATTATCTTTTATTAACCTGGTTGATTTAGGATTTGTTATTGATGTAATCCATGTTGTAAACTGATAAACCATTAGATTTAACACTTTCCAATATTGTAAAGTTACATGTATCAATGAAATGTATGTGCACATTGCCCCTACACACAAAACAGTCTGATAACAAAATATCTCAAGATAAGAGCTCATTTATTTTAAGTGCAAATGTAAAAAAAAAATAATTGAAACTGACAAATCAGGGCATGCATATCAATACAGGCAGTGGGATGAAGGGAGCCGATGTGTCATGCATTGGAATAGTTATTACAATAATACATTGCAGTGCTAGCATCAGACAGTACTGAACTCATTAATGAATTCTCTTTATGGGACAGAGTCTGGTCTTGGCCTTGATGATACATCCCTCCTTCTGCCATAGTTACACAGCCCAGGTACTGATTGAACTCTGCTTTGTAAACACGACCCAATGTATTAACATGCTGCATGGAAGGTTCCTCTCTGGGTATGGACTCGGGGGGTGGGGAGAGATACCCTGGTAGAACCATCTCATGCCTGCTGGATACAAACGATTGTTCATAATATATTGGTGGAGGCTGTTGGCACCCAATCATATTGTTCATTGGGCTACCTTGGCCCACCTGTTCTGCCTGGGACAATTGGTTGAAGGAGCAAGAACTCTGCTCGTTGGAATAGGTGGCACAGAACGTTGCAGGGCTAGCATCAGGCAGAACTGAACTCATTAAAGCATTCTCTGTATGGGACACAGTCCGATATTGGTTATGATGATACATCCCTCCTTCTGCCGTGGTTGCATAGCCCAGATACTGATTGAACTCTGCTTTATAAACACGACCCAATGTATCAACATGCTGCATGGAAGGTGCCACTCTGGGTATGGACTCGGTGGGTGTGGAGAGATACCCTGGCAGTACCATCTCATGCCTGCAGGATATAAATGATTGTTCAAAATACATTTGTGGAGGCTGTTGGGACCAAATCATATTGTTCATTGGGCTACCTTGGCCCATCTCTTCAGCCTGGGACAATTGGTTGACAGTTAATGAGATGCATGGACTCTGCTGGTGGGAATTGGTGGCATTGTATAAATTGGGCACCACGTCTTTGGCAAAAGATGTAAAATACAAAGAGTCAGCTTCAGCCAAATTCACCGGTGACGCTTCTGGTGTGGGCAAGCTGTAGTCGTAGTGGTGGTCTCTACAGTGACTGGTGCTCTGTGGAAGCTGAGAGTGGCAATAGGACTGGTCTTGGTTATAGCCCATACTGAAACTGTCCAAACACATCCTCCCATCAGTACTGGTCTGCTCTGACTGTTCCTTTATGCCAATAAATCCATTTCCCGATCTCTTCTTCTTTTGATCTAGTTTACGTTTTTTAGGCTTTTTTGTGTGGTCCTGGGTGTGCTGCTCTTTCAGTCTCTGCGCCTCCACAAAAAAAGGCCTTTTTTCAGTTCTTGTTAAAGCCCTCCATGCTTTCCCTGCAGAGGAGACACGAAAAACATAAACAATTAGGATTTCAGCCATGGGAGATCGTGGAAAACTGTTTGTAACAAATGTTTAAAATCCATAACCCAGTCTGGTGGATACAATGCAACCCGGTGTCCCTGTTAGATACATTGTTACACTGAACATTCTCAGTAAGAACGCTGATAAATGTTCAAATTATTAAGAACAGCAGGAGAATTAAATGTCATCCCGGGAAACAATATACTAAACATTTCATGCATTATTAAAGTTATCATTTTTACTAATAGTTAAGAATCCAGTTTAATAAAGATAAAACATGAACAAAAAATATTTTAAAAAAACAATAAAAATCAAACTTACACGAAATATTTTCCGAAAAAATAAAAAAAAAAATGTCTCAGTAATTCTAAAATATAAGAGTTTGTCATTTAATAAAATGGTCAGACAGAAGGAGTAAAGTTGCCCTTTCTTACCTAGTATTTTGCTCAGCTCTCCTTTCGGAAGGCCTGGGTTCTGTTGTGCCACCCGCTTTCTTTCGTCCATGGCCCAGACCACAAATGCATTCTTGGGTCGGCGGACCCGAGTCTCCGCTTGGCTGCTCGTGTTGGCACATTCCGCTCTCAATTCACTGCTCATGGCTTAGACTGAGAGGTGATCACTAGTGAATTGCTCCATCAGCCTGCTCAAAGTTCTAATACCAGAGTACAAGCCAATCAGTGAGCTAAGGGGCGGAGCTTTACCTGAACTGTGCAACAGGCAATGCTGTGATTGGTTGTCTTTGTTCTCCTTCTCCCCTCCCACATGCAGGTATCAGCACATTGGGGGCTGGTGCCAGAGGTAGGTAGGCAGCCCAGCCCCATGGTGTTAGTTTCAGGGTTTGTACAATGTAAGAGGGGATTTCCTCTATCACATTCAGGTCAGACTAATAAACTCAGAGCACAGTATTGGGAGTTACCATGATCCCACATTTATCATTTATTATCAATTAAACATCAATGGTGGGAAAAGTCCTGGGATGTTCAATAGAAAGCACTGACATGTATCCTGTCTGCCAATGGAGCGCTGTATTCTACTGAGCAATATTAAACATTAAGGTGCTGGCCTGGGGGAAAGGGGGGCGGAGTCTGGGTTAGTCTCTGTGCTGTCACACATCCAATTAGCCATAGATTGAGCTAATATTTGGCAGTTACACTTTGCAAGGAAAACTAATTCATTTCGTGGGGGTTTTAAGTGCAAATCTATGTGATTCTTTTTATGGGAGGCTGAATAAGAGAATTCTATCAGCATTAGAAACAATATCATCCCTGAAAGGTCTACACACACAAAGGGCTATTTACTAACTATATGTTGATTGAAACCAATTCCAGACACACAGACTTATTGCAGACAGAGCACTGTGACACATTCTGGGTTATTCACTAAACTGCGAACTGTGAGACGGAAAGTGAATTTCATAGTTTATGTTACTATAACCAAAGTACAAACCTATCTAACTTGGAGAATTTTTATAGTTTGTGTATTTTGGTGTATAATGTGAAATAGATTTTAAATATCTAACAATTCATATTTCACGGAATAACCTTCATATCTTTTCTCACAGTAAATAATAATTCCATCTTTATAAAACTGTGAGTCCATTATCTAACGGGTTATTTACTAAATGAGAATTCAGTGTGAATTTACACTGTAAAGTAGCCGACCTGGAAGCGCAGGTGACTTAGAGAATATCTCCAGGTCGGTTATTTTTACCTTGATTTGAAATTCACTTAGAATTCACTCTAATAAATAACCGGCAATGTATAAAGTGTAGTAATCAGGACCAGCCCACGGGGGTCCAGCTGGGGCAACTAGACAATGGGAACACATAGAAAGGGGCAATAAAATGTTACCCTGGGCATGTGATAACTTATCTGGAATAAAAGGGTGAGAAGAGGGGAGAGCTGGAATGAAAGGAGGATGGTGGTAGAATTAAAGGAGGAATAAAATAGGAAAGAATCGGAGATACAAGGAAAGCAGGAATAAAGAGAGAGACATGGATTCTTGGAGAAAATAGTGAGACAGCTGAAGATAAGGAAAAGGGAGATCTGGAATTAAAAGATCAGATGTGAAACCTGGATAAAGAGGGAATAGAGAAACAGAAATAGAGGGAATGGATTTGGAATAAAAAAGGAGAAGTAAAACTAAAATAAAAAGAAAGAGAGAGATGGATAAAGGAGAATGAAAGATTTACAATAAGAGAAAGAATAGAACTTCATTAAACAGGGAGAAGGAGACAGAAAGGAGACAAGAGGAGACACGTAACAAATAAACAGAATAATGAAAAACTAGACCCTGACAGAGAGAGTAAAGAATAATGTGAACAGACCTTGACCCCCAACACACAGACTCAAAAATACCCAGAAATTCTCATAGATTGACCATCCACTCAGATACTGCTTGGCATTCACATACACCCTGTGAGAGGCACCGTGTAAACACACATCATGTGAGGGTGGTCAGCCCCATCTCAGCACAGATCTAGAATTTTCCCTAATATGTAATAATATATTTAACAAGAATCCGAGCCCTGTACTGATTGATTTTAGCCTGTTAGATTTATTGTAGTTTCCATTAGATATGTTGCCATAATTACCAGTAAGAAGATGAACATTAATGGGTTTATAACCTTATGTGAGCTCAGGGAATGAAATGGACCCTGTAAAGAGACAGACTGGATGTAAAGTTACAGAGGGGCAATCTTACACCAATTACCCACTTATAGGGTTTCAGAACCCGCTATCAGACCAGATATAGTATGAGGCTGCTGGGTCAGTACCATGTGATTGCAGTCACTGTTACCACAGGGGGGGAAACATTGTGGGAAGGGGATTTCATGTTATAACAGGCTATCAGGTTTGCTGGTGGAATCTGAGGCTACTTTTAATATCTCAATTAATAAATAAATAAATAAAAATATTAGGAATTTGGAGGCACATCTAGAAAATGCATTTCTCAGTACTAGTACTGCTATACAAGTTTCATGTAGACAAAGTGCACATTAGGGGAAATTCACAATGAATATAGAATGAATGTTACAAGGCTACTTACACACCTATCTTAGTAAATATAGTTGGATACAGTCACACCCATAATGTGGCCATAATTTGTTTAGACCGAAATAGTAAAATTCCCCAGAATTAACATCACACAGATCAGTAATTTATCCTCATGTTTACTTAACACCTGCCTGCATATTAATGGGATACAATAAGCAGGTTATATTACTGACTTTGACAGCTATTACTGGTTTCTGCTGCACTACAATCCACTGTCAGCAATCAATGTATCCTGGGGGTAAAACCTGCCAGTGCCCCTCCCTCATATTGTAGAAACGCTACAAATGATACAATAAGTATTGTTTTTTTTAATTGTAATTTGGGCCAATACACATTTTTCTTAGAATTGTAAACGCCCTCAACAGCTCTCAGAACATTTACATTATTTACATATGTAATATGCGATCTGAGAGCTATTCATTGGGTAGACACTGTCTGACTGCACTAACATCTGTGTAGACAGATATATTAACAGCAAAGGATGAAAAATATTAAACCAAATTGATCTATTTTAGCATTCTTGTATTTATTTGTTACCATTTAAACAAAGCGTCTTGGATCCTGCCAGGAGTTGGATAAAAGATGTATAGAGAATATTTGTTCACTAGAATAAATATTCACAACATAGCAGCCAACATAGTACTCTCTAGTGCAGGGATAGGCAACCTTCGGCAATCCAGATGTTGTGGACTACATCCCCCATAATGCTCTTACAACCTTAATGCTGACAAAGCATCATAGGAGGTGTAGTCCAAAACATCTGGAGTGCCAAAGGTTGCCTTTGCCTGCTTTAGTGTAATAAGTACAATTGTACAACTGCAAAATTGAGTATTATTTTCCAAAAAATAGATAAATAAGAAAATCCTTCAGCAAAGAGTTGTACAGGACATGAAACGTGTCGCTATACCAATACAGAGGTTTTCAAAGTCACCAAGTGCAGCAGTTTTCACCTGCACAAACGCATAAAAAAAAAAAAACTTTAAGAAAATCTTGTAGCAAACAGTTGTGCAGGATGTGTAAAATGCTTCCACAGAAATACAGGGGAGTTAGACACCAAAGCTGTATAAGTCCTGCACAACTTCAATCATAGGCATTTTTTTTTGTGCAAAATTCTTTTAGAAAATCTTTTATATAACAGTTGTGTATGACATGAAAACTGCTGCCCTTGTTAGCTTAGAATGCCACTGTATTGATGTGACAACATTTTTTTTTATGCTGTTTTATGCAGTTGCGCTAGATGCAAAAAGTGCTTACCAATACAGTAGCTTACACCATCAACAAGGGCAGCACTTGTCACGTCCTACATGACTTGAAAAAAACATTCTTTTCCAAATAACAAAAATAAAATCATGACACTTATACAAGTCCTGAGAAGTGATGCCACGAAGAGTGATGCCATGAAAAGTGATGCCACACCAATACAGGGGTTCCCAAAGTCTCCAAAGACAACACTTTGTCTCCTGCACAACACTTTGCTACAATTGTATAAAAAAGTTTTTTGTTTAAAAAGATACAATAAGATAATATTTTAGAAAACAGTTGCTCAGGAAGTGAAAAGTGCTGCTTCACAAATATAGTGGTTTGCAATGTCACCATAGAAAGCCCTTTTAATGTGCAGCACAACTAGATAAAAATGCATTGTTTTTTTAAAATCCAAATAGAAAATATTTTAGCAAACAGTTGCTCAGGGATTGAAAAGTGCTCCCAAACAATACAGAATTCTAAGCCACCATGGTCAGTATATTTCAAATCCTGGAAAACTGCAAAATTAAGCAATTTTTTAGTTATTTTTTTTGCCTTAAATCTTTTGAAATATCTTATAGAGAACATTTGTGTAGGTCCTGTAAAGTCCTGCACTTTTTATCTTTGAATTCCCTATTTTGGTGTGGCAGCAATTTTTATGTCCTGGTGAACTGTCTGCTAAAAATGTTCTGATATATATATATATATATATATATATATATATATTGATATATATATATATATATATATATATATATATTATTTTTTATTTTTTCATTATTTTTCTTTTTTTTACAATCATTATTTATATCTTGTTTTGTCATATGAATGTTAAGCATAAGGAATGACGGTAGGGTGAATTCAATAAAGAATATAATTTGCTATTTAGCTGTCTGCAATTTGTGTTAAATCACTGCCATATTGTATACTTATATCATACCTAAATATTCACTGATTGTTGTCATGCATGTTTCATATTATTATTAATTATTGTCACAATAAATTAAATTTTTATAATCAATTTGTGATTAATGTGTGAAATAAAAATCCTCTAATGAAACGAATTCCAGGATCTATGAGAATTAAAAATAGTGGGTAGTTCTCAACTTTAAATTAATGTAATCGGGGAAACAGTGCCAAGGTATTAATTTTGATATAATAAAAATTTAATACATTTTGATAATTTTTATGAAAACATTATTTTTAATATTTAAGACCCCATTAATATCCTCACAATTTACTTGGCTAGTTCTTGTTCCTGATCATAGCATATGGAGAGTCCTGGTCTGGACGAAGGCT